CATTACATACATAGAAAGTTACTCCAAAGGATACATTTTGAACTAATTGTCCTAATGCTCTAGCCTTGCTTCATTTATAATCTTCCATGACTCCATTATGCCCCATGTTCCAAGCTACTGTGTCCAAGTTGCTATAATATAAACCAAACCTGCAAATACATTAAATAAATTGTCATAGGCGTATAAACCAATTACACTATCGCTAGTACACAAACTTGCAACGTCAAACCAATATCAAACAAATTCCAAAAAAAAAAAACAAACATATTCCATTCATCAACCCAACTCAAGATAACGGGGAATGCAACCGAAAACTAAATGGTTTTTAACAAACATGCTTCTAAGTAGCCCATTCCAAAACAGCCCTGCAAACAGAATTCTAAAACTCTAACTACCAGCTTATTCTAACTTCCCTCTAACTGCCAAAAACAGAATGATAACCATTTCCCATTCCCTAAACGTTCCCTAACCTTCTCAAACTCTTAACCAATTCCTAACAGAATATCAAGAAAAAACCTCTAACCAACTGTCATAACCTATAACTGAATAACAACCTCCTAACCAATTCCATAACTACCTCCCTAACTGTCCTAACCGATTTTATCAGCTAAGAGATAACCAACTTCTAATAGACATAACAGAATCAATGAGTCCCTAATCATTCTCAACCAAGTTTCTAACAAACTTTCAACAGTTATATAATAGAAATCTGAGAGAAGAAGAAAAGGAGAATTTTCACAAAAAATCTCAGAAACAATTACACAAAGGTTCACATAAAGATCATTATTCAGTCTCAGATCCACAATCATTTTATTCAACAAGAAAAAACTCAGAAAAACTTCACTGATTGAATTCAAGAGAAAACTCACCAGAAAGTTCAGAAAAACCTCCAGCTCCCCCCTGCAACTTCATCGCTCATTTTCTTCAAGCTTCAATCACCTTCAATTCATCTTTCGTGGAGTCTTCAATTAACAACCTCACCACCATTCTCCAACTTGCATCAATTCTATACAACACCTATACCACTGGACTCCAAGAATCACCATTGATCTTTCGCGCATATTTAATCATCATCATCACCATTCCCCAATCATTAGTCTCCCAGAATCGCTTCATTGATTCTTCAATCGCCATCTGCAACAAACAATAATATCATCATCATTTCAAAATCTTCTGTAAATGCAACCTGCTTCATCTTCATCATCAATGACATCACAATGATAACACAAAACACAGAGGGAGAAGAAGAGTAGAAGTTACGAGGAATCATATACCTCACCTCGATTCTTCCAAAATCGATCTCCGTCGAAGCCATGGGTTTAGGAATCAGAGAAAGATGCGAGCAGAGGCGGCGATAATGTTGTTCATGGTGGCGGAAGGCGTTTGAGAAGAAGATGAGAAGAGGAAGGGATGTGTGCGTCGTAGGGTTTGCGTTCTTGAAAAGGAAGAGATAGAAGCTGAATAAATTGGATAATGGGTGTGGTGTTGTTGTTTGGACCGAAGCCCTTGTTTGACCCACGTGGAATTCATTTTTGCATACAAAAATAGTACTATGGGCTCAAACTGAATGGGCCTAACACCCAGATTTCCATTGTTGGATTACACCATCAGATCCAGATTAACACCCCCGCTATTTAGAATTTTAATTGGCTTTCTCTATTATTTTTGTTGTCTTTTCATGATTCTTATTGATAAAAATATGTGAAAAAAATAGATTGCAAGTTGGTGTGATTATTGGTAAGTAAAAGAAATATTGTTGAAGAGTTTCAAGAAGATTTCAAAGCAAGCTAAGAGATTAATTGTCATCAAATAAATTCGAGGAATATTTTGGTAGAGTTTTCTTATTGTTTGCGTGGTTATGAAGAGGCAACAGACCTTCTTCGTTCGGTATCGTCACAACTCTATTTTGTTCTTCATTCTCGTACTTTACCGCAATCCATATGCATGCTAATATTAGATAGAATTCCCTCGAGAATCCGAATCTTAGGACCACCATTGCATGATAACATTAGGTTTAGAAATATGTTAGTCTCCCTTTGACTTTTCTTTCCCCTTTTGCATTTGCATTAAAATAAAAACTTCTTTTTCTTTCAAAATTCAAAATACTTTAAAACTATTGATGAGAATCATGCCTTTGCTTAGTATGGGAAATGATAAGCGGGTCTCTTCTCGATCTTATTGTTCTTCATCTCCAGCCTAGGTGTGGTTCAATTCTCAAAGATTCCTTTCATGGATAAGTAGAAAAGTGGCTAATATCTCTCTCTTGAGGTCAACTAGTCATTATCTGCAACAAAAATACAAACCAACTCAAACCATTTTGTGCGCTCGAGCACCTTTTTCTAAGAAACCCTTTTCAGGTAAGAACATGATTAATTTACTTCTGTGCCAACACATAAGTCTCCAAAGGTCGAGCTGCGGCAGAAGGCGGAATTAACTTTGTCCATAAAAAACACAAACACACAAAAACATATGAGCCGAACTACGATAGCTCTGATTCCTCAAAATGGATACGTAGGCATTAGGGTAGGGTCTAAATGAGCACAATTTTATTTTCCCTACATTATTTTCCCTCTTTTCTTTTGCATGCATTCTCCCTTCAGTAGTATAGTAAACAATAAGCATAGATTGAACACACCCATAAGATAGATAACAAGAGTGGATACCATAGAGTACTACGAGGGTGTGGGGTGCTAATACCTTCCCCTCGCGTAATAGAGTCCTTTACCCGATCTCTCGGTCGCAAGACCATGACTTCTCTCTTCTCAGGTTTTCTTGATGTTTACCTTTCCCTTCATGTGGGATAAAAGACGTTCGATGGCGACTTCATTGTTTGATGATTTTCAGCCGGTTTTTTCACTGGCACGACTCTTTTTTCCCATGAATCACAATGATTTATTTTTCTGTATCAGATTTGAAAGAAACTCGTAATTAAGGAAAACATTTTAATACGATCAAACAAAAATAAAAATAACTTTTTGATCGTAGATCATACGACTTAATCAATTAACATATCTAAAAAAAGAAATAGAACTATGAATTCTTGCACAATGCATTTTTGTGTTATGAATTTTGTTTAGTAATTTTGTCGAGATCTATCTGTCAAAATACCTTAAACAAAATCCAAAAATGAGATTCACACTATTTTCTAAATTTCATTAGGGGGCCCTTTACGAAACATGTGAACACTGTATTTATCATAAAATTCTGCACCTATTTCAGAATTATGACTGATTCCCATTCCTGTATTGATATTGACAAAAGATCTTTTTATTGACAAAAGATCTTTTTTATATACAATAATAGTATTGTAACGGGTATAGTTTAGTGGTAAAAGTGTGATTCGTTCTATCGACCCTTTAATGGTAATAGTTAAGGGGTCCCTTCCGTGATTCATATCACGATCAAAAAATTTATTTCTTACTTAAAGGTATTTAATCCTTTATACCTCTCAAAGAGCAATTCAAGGAATAATATACATTATTATAATTTGTATACAATTTAGAATTGATTCTAAAATTATGAAACATAAGTTTTTGCAATTGGATCCAGAATCCCAATTTTTGAATATAAGTAAAGGATCCAGGGAGAAAGATATATAAAATTCGTTTCCAATCGTAACTAAATCTTCCAATTTTTTTATTACTTGTTTTGTATAAGAGAGATTGAAGCAAAATAGTTATGAAATGATTTTTTTAGTTTACTAGAAACATCAACATATTTTTTTAACTGGACGAAAATTTTATTCTTTTCCTAAAGATTCTCTCAAATAGAAATAGAGAACAAAGTAACTAGAAAAAAAGAGATTGTTCGAATACTCCTTTTTTGTAGGGATCATCTAAAAGGCTGACATAGATGTTATGGATTATTTTTTTCATGTATTCCATCTATCTCTTGAATTATTCTATAAAGGAGATGAATGAAACAAAAGTTTCACGTTCAATTTTGAATTAGAGACGTTCATTCATAAATGTCGACTATAACCCTTAACCTTCCAAGCTAACGATATAGATTTGATTCCCGCTACCCGCTTATATTCTATTTCTCTATCTATATTCTATTTTTTATTTAGTAAATTTCTTCATTTAGTTTTAGTATAGAATTCTTTTTTCTTTCACTTTTCACGAAATTTTTGTGAAAAGTGAAAGAAAAAAAGAAAAGCGTTCATTGTCTAATGGATAGGACAAAGGTCTTCTAAATCTTTGGTATATGTTCGCATCCTATTGGACACAAATTGATTACATATTGAATTGATTGCAATTGCATATATATTAATTGAATTCGTATATTTCTAAAAATATATTGTGAATTTCTTATCTTTATGATTGTTTTTTTTAATAGACTAATGATAGAAATTTTTTAACGGTATGAAAATTTTAATCAATTTTTTTCTACTTGTTCCTGAAGTAAAAAAGAGTTCCATATGTTCCTGAATAGCCTCCTTCAAAATGGCTTCTGCTTCCCCAATGAATGTCTTGGTAGAAGATATGATTTCATTGAATTTAGGTTTATTCGTTTTTAAATAAGCCCGTAACTCAAGGAGAAATTTTCTTACCTGTTCAATTTCTAATGAATCAAGATAACCGTTCGTTCCAGTATTAATAGTTATTATCTGTTCTTTCACAGTAAGAGGAGATGATTGGGATTGTTTAAGCAACTCGCACAATCATTGACCTCTTGCCAATTGGTTTTGCGTGGCTTTATCGAGATTTGAAGAGAATTATGCAAAAGCTTCTAATTCTGCGAATTGTGCCAATTCCAATTTTAATTTACCAACTACTTGTTTCATGGCTTTTGTTTGAGCCGTCAATCCAACTCTGGAAACGGAAATACCCACATTAATTGCGGGTATGATCCCAGCATTGAATAAATTAGCAGATAAGAATATTTGGTTGTTTGTAATGGAAATTACATTAGTAAGAATATAAGTTGAAACATCTCCTAATTGGGTCTCAACTATTGGTAAATCAGTCATACTTCCTTCACTTAACTGAGAACTTAATTTAGTGGCTCTTTCCAAAAGACGCGAATGTAAATAAAAAAACATCTCCAGGATAAGCTTCGCGACCTGGTGGTCTTCGTAATAGAAGAGACATTTGGCGATAAGCATGTGCTTGTTTGCAGGGATCATCATAAATGATTAAAGTGTGGCGTTCACTGTACATAAAATATTCAGCCAGAGTTGCTCCTGTATAAGGCGTGAGGTATTGTAATGTAGCTGGGGAATTTGCTGTTTCAGCCACTATAATAGTGTATTCTATTGCTCCTCTTTCTTGTAAAGAAGTTACGGCTTGAGCCACAAAAGATGCTTTTTGACCAATAGCTACATAAACATATACTACATTTTGTCCTTGTTGATTGAGAATCGTATCTGTAGCTATTGTTGTTTTACCAATTTGTTTGTCCCCAGTAATCAATTCTCGCTGGCCACGCCCTATAGGGATCATAGAATCAATAACAATAAGTCCCGCTTGAAGGGGCTCATACACGGACTGTCTAGAAATAATACCAGGAGCGGGAGATTCGATTAACCGAGATTCTGAAGCTGAAATTTCTCCTCGATCGACAATAGGTTTAGCTAGGGAGTTTACAACATGACCCAAATAACCCTCACTTACCGGCATCTGAGCAATTCTTCATGTTGCTTTTACGGAACTTCCCTCTTGTATCATCAAACCATCACCCATTAATGCAACACCAACATTTTTTGATTCCAAATTCAAAGTAATGCCTACTATACTTCTTCAAATTCTACTAATTCACCCGCCATTACTTTATCAAGACCATAAATACGAGCAATGCCATCGCCTACTTGAAGTATGGTACCTGTATTTACAATTTTTACTTTGATATTATATTGATCAATACGTTCACAGATAATTTTACTAATTTCACCTGCACGAATGGTTACCATGAATATTTCTGAATTTGATTCTTTTTCGAAGAAAAAAAAAAGACCTGCCTGCCTATACTCTCAATTATAGTAAAACAACTAATAAATTATTTTTTTCTTTCATCACCCCAAACATACCAATATTAGCATTGATCGTACATAAATGTAACTCATTGTTTAAGCAACTATTCAAAGTTCCCAGAGCTCCTCGTATTGCTTGTTGTAAAACCCTTTGTTGCACTTGATTAATTGCCCCTTGTTGTTCAAAATGAATGGTTTCATTTTAGTAATTTTCAAATTGTTCCAAAGTTGTATAAATTGAATTAATTAAATTCAATTTTTCTCATTCTATCTCAGAATAACCATTCACTCGAATCCGACCTGCTCCCATTTCTACTTTCCTTAAACGGGACCAGGCTTTTTCCAGCTGTTTAATGGTTGTTTCCCGTAGTTCTTCTGAATTTCAAATAGTTCTCAAGATTCTCTATTTTCGATTATCTAATAAATCACTTAATGAAAGTAGATTCTCTTTCCATTTATTTCAAAATGTCCACGATCTCTTCCCAAACCAAACATGCATCTTTCCATTCATTTAGCTCTCACACTCAATTCCTTATAGGAAATTTCCCGATATTTATTATGGAATGAGCCTATCCTCTTTTCTCTATTTCTAAAAATCTTGAAAATGATTATCAATACAAGACCCAAATATTTGGAGGACTCTTCTGACCAAACAAATAATTGTCAGCAAAGTTGTTTTTTTCCTCTTGAAATCCAAAGAATTCTCATTAATTTATACCTAGGTCATCAATTCCGCATTGTAGGAAAGTAGAAACGGAGGCGTTAAACAAAACACCTTTTTCCTATTTTTCATCCATCATAAAGAGAATTCAAGTCAGTTTATCGGCATGAGTGTTCTATATCGAAAAAAAATTCTAATTTCCCTATTAACATAGTGGTAGAAAGAATACTAGACTACGTCGAAACTTCAAACTGGTTAGTTTTAACCATGGTAATGTTCCAAAATTCTTGGTTGATAGAGAATCAAAGTAAATTTACCAATGAATCGCGAAATGCTATGGTTCTTAACTATTTTTTCCGTTATTCTGCAAGAAGTCATTCACCGAATCAAGCACATTTTCCTAGTTATAATAAAAAAAGTGCAGTTGATTGTATCCAATCTAGTCTTTGAAATAAACAACTCGTACACACTCCCTTTTCAAAAAAAATGAATACACCTAGCGTTGCACTTAGATTTATTAGATTTGTTGCTAAAATATCGGCATCAAACCCGAAACTTCCGGCGGATGGCCAATAAATGAAGCAAAGAAAATAATTAGTTATATTTTTTATATGATCGCATCTTCTCTTATGGATAGACAAAATTTCTTTTTACGATTCCAAATTTATTTATTTATTTATGATAGTTTATTCTATAATCTAATTTTTTAATTATTTAATATGAATATATCAAATTAGTATATTTTTATTCTTAATAATAATAAATATTAGTAAGAATAAAAATATACTAAGAAGACCTATATTTTGAATTGGTTAGTTAATTGAAAGATTTTCTATAAGAATGATACTTCTTAGAAGGAAATACTAGTTCTTATGTCAATTGCAAAATACTTAGTTGATTTCAACACTTTCTAAATAAAAAAAGGGGTCAGTGGACTAAAAAAAGGGACGGAAGAAGGCGAATCAGTATGTTAATTCGAATGAAGAAAAAATTGTAGGAGTAAAATCTAAGTAGAATGAAACAAAAAAAGCAAGAGCAACAACGAAAGTCCGTGGAAAAAACAAGATATATTTTTTTTTTATTAAACAAAAGGATTGACAAATAAAAGAGTTAATGCTACAATCAGCCCATAAATAATTAAAGCTTCCATAACCCATGAATAATTAAAGCTTCCATAACTCGTACTTTATCCTCTGCTTCTGGTTGTCTCGCAATCCCTTCTACAAATTGTTGACCAACTCCAGATCCAACAGAAACAAGCCCGACGACCAACCCAACAGCGATAATATATATATATATATATATATATATATATATATATATATATATATATATATATATATATATATATATATATATATATATATATATATATATATATATATATATATATATAAAATAACGACTTCTATTCAATATTCTCCTCTATCCATCCATCTTTATCTTAAATTACAAGGTATCTCTTGCACTAATAATTTTCTTATAATTTCATGAATGTTTAAAATAAAAGATTAAAATTATATTTAAAGTTTTATCTATAATAAACACATATTTAAGAGTAAAACTAATACAAGGTATAAATAGAATATATGAATATGTTTTGTACAACTTTAAAATAATATCTCCACTGAACAACAAGCACAATTTTTTTATAAAGAAATCACACCTACACATTTTGAATGCACAATGATTTTAATCTTGTATTTTAAACAATATTTTTATAAATAATCATTCAAAAATAATATAAATTTGTTGAATTTATTTGTTATAAATAAATTAAAAATAATTTTGAGATTTAATAATTTAAATATTCATTATTTTAGTTTTTAACATATTAAAAGTTAGGAAAATGCTAATATTCTTACAATTTTTTTTTATTAAAGTAGTTTTTCATTTTAAATATTTTTTAAAATTTAATTATTTAAAAATATTATAAATAAAATAAATGTTTAAATAAAATATTTAGTATTATAAAATTCACTTCAGAAAAAACAATATCACCATTTTATCTCGAAGAAACACTAACAAAAAAAATAAAATAAAAAAGACTTTTTCATTAAAAATTCCGTCGGGTTGCAGAAAATTTCGCCCTTTTGCATGGAGTTAAATGTCGTTGAGAGTACTGCCACGTCATCTCCTTGATCATAAAACTCTGTCAAAGTCAATATCTTCAAAACGCCATATTCGCGCGCAGAAAACTCTAACTTCACAATCCACGTGTCTCACTTCATAACCGTTCAACAACAAAAAAAAACGTTTCGTTTTTGAGCAATGTAGCTTCTTCTCATTTTACATATAGTAATAACTAACTTTCACTTTTCACTTCTTCACATCTTCACTCCACAAACCTCTCTCTCTAACGATGGCTTCACGGAGAATCGTTTCGTCTTTGATTCGATCCTCACTCCGTCCATCTCCATCCAGATCCTCCATCACCGCCTCAACATCCAGACTTCGTGCTTCTCCTTCCCCGTCCGCTTACTTTCTCAACCGTGTAACGGAATATGCCACAGCTGCTGCTGCTGCAGCTCCCGCTCCTCCTCCGGCTAGGAAAATTCCCGCTGCTGATGGAAAGATTACCGATGAACGTACAGGGAAAGGTTCCATTGGACATATTTGTGCGATCATTGGTGCTGTAGTGGATGTGAGATTCGAAGATGGAGTGCCTCCGATCCTTACCGCGCTTGAAGTTCTTGAAGGTAATATACGGATTGTGTTGGAGGTTGCTCAACATTTAGGTCAGGGTGTTGTTAGAACTATTGCTATGGAAGCTACTGAAGGTGTTGTTAGAGGATGGCGCGTGCTCAATACCGGTTCTCCCATCAATGTAAATTCCCAATCATTTGCTTCGCAAAATAGTGTTTTATTGTTTTTTAGCCATTTCAAAACTGTTTTTTCTTGCTATTTTAGCACCTTTTTTTTTTATCTTCATTGTGTGTTTACTTTTAGCAACTTTTCTATAATTTTTAACATAAAGGTTAAGCTTCGATTATATCAATTATGCTTCTTTCTGTTTTATAGTTTTGAAATTTACATCGAAATTTACGGTGATTTTATTTTATTGTGATAATCTTTATTTATTAGTTAGTATATGAATCTCACTAAAAAAAAAGTTAGTCTATGAATCAATAATAGCATGGACATTGACATGACAACTTAGAAAATAAAATTGATTAAACAATGTGTGGGATGGCCATTCAATCATAAGTGTGATATGCTGCATAAATATTTGGTTATATTGCTTTTGTGAATGTGATCTGATATATCTATCTGCTCCAATCTCAACTTTCTTTTGAACTAGCATTTTGCAAGCATGGATTTGGCCATGTTAGTTTTTTACTTTTGATTTTGTATTTGTCACTAGCATTTACTTTTTATATTTTCTAGGTTTGAAATATTTTCTAACATACTTGTTTTCCATTTAGGTTCCCGTTGGCAGGGCTACCCTTGGACGAATCATGAATGTTATCGGAGAACCTATCGACCACAAAGGAGAATTCAGTAAGCAATCACTAAATCTTTCATTAGCCAGAAGTTTTTCCTGTCATAGTTTCTATGGAAAATTTTCAACTGATGATAACTTTTTGTGAATTACATTAGAAACCGAGCATTATTTGCCCATTCATAGAGAGGCTCCTGCTTTTGTTGAGCAAGCAACTGAACAGCAGATCCTTGTTACTGGTATTAAGGTATTTTTCTTTTGCTAATGACTTCCTTTTTCTTTCTTTTTTTATTTGTGGTGAATGCATCAACCTCATAATATCCTTAAATGTTCAATTACGCAAATATTACTGGCTTTATACCAAATTTGCATAAATTTCTTCATATAGGTTGTTGATTTGCTTGCACCATACCAAAGAGGAGGAAAGATTGGGTTGTTTGGTGGTGCTGGTGTAGGAAAGACTGTGCTTATTATGGAGCTTATCAACAATGTTGCTAAGGCTCATGGTATATAGCTTAATGCACCTAATTTATTCTTATTGAGAGGCTATTTTTCTGTGATGTATGCTTACTATTTCCACTCATTAGGTGGTTTCTCGGTTTTTGCCGGTGTTGGAGAAAGAACCCGAGAGGGTAATGATTTGTACCGAGAAATGATTGAGAGTGGTGTCATTAAGTTGGATGATAAGCAGGTAAACACAATGCTGTTCATCATATACAATAAACAATATTCATAATATTTTCCTTTTGCAAAGCTGTCAACTATGTTTTGTTTCATGAATTCAGAGTGAAAGCAAATGTGCTCTTGTGTATGGTCAAATGAACGAGCCACCTGGTTCTCGTGCCCGTGTTGGACTTACTGGACTCACTGTCGCCGAACACTTCCGTGATGCTGAAGGACAAGACGTGCTGCTTTTCATCGACAACATTTTCCGCTTTACTCAAGTACAGACAACTTATTTAGTCTAAGCTATCATCTATATCTCAATTGATATTCATAACATGACATATAATGCATGATGCATTTTCAGGCAAACTCAGAGGTGTCTGCTTTGCTTGGTCGTATCCCATCTGCTGTTGGTTACCAACCAACATTGTCTACTGATCTTGGAGATCTTCAAGAGCGTATTACAACCACCAAAAAGGGTTCAATTACCTCTGTCCAAGCTATCTATGTGCCTGCTGATGATTTGACAGATCCTGCTCCTGCTACCACCTTTGCTCATTTGGATGCTACAACAGTGTTGTCGAGACAGGTTTGATTATGTTATTACTTTAACTAAACTGGCAATTTTAGTGATACCTTTTGGTTGTTATTGTTACCACTAACTAAATAATGTGATTTGGATGACTATTGAATATAGATCTCCGAGCTTGGTATCTATCCTGCTGTCGATCCATTGGATTCCACATCTCGTATGCTTTCCCCACTTATTTTGGGCGAGTCACACTATGAAACCGCCCGTGGTGTACAGAAAGTACTTCAAAACTACAAGAATCTCCAAGATATCATTGCAATTTTGGGAATGGATGAGCTCAGCGAAGACGATAAACTAACTGTCGCCCGTGCTCGTAAAATTCAGCGATTCTTGAGCCAGCCTTTCCATGTTGCAGAAGTTTTCACTGGTGCCCCTGGCAAATATGTTGACTTGAAGGAGAACATTGCTAGTTTCCAGGTATATTTTTCTCATTTAGTCTAATTTTACCCAACCAAGTTGACAAAACAAAGCTTTGATTGTTAATGACTTTGTTTATTGTGCAACACAGGGTGTGTTGGATGGAAAATACGACGCCCTTTCAGAGCAGGCATTTTACATGGTTGGTGGTATTGAAGAGGTCATTGCAAAGGCTGAGAAGATTGCTAAAGAAAATGCATAAATCACACAATTCACACACAATTTTGTTTCAATTATCATAAATGGCAAGTTTAATAATTTAGGATCTCCTTTATTTATTTTAAATTTTTTTTAGGTAATTCCTTTCATTTTAATCTTGTTTCGGACTGTAACATGAATCCTGACCTAACCTTTTTTTTACTGTTATGTTATTCAATAAAGAGAAGAGTGCAGAGAGTACACATTTTTTACTTGGTTGTAATAATGTTGGACGCATGCATCACTGTCACAAAACTCACCACAAGAATTGGTCGGTGTGATGTGAAGCATAATTTTGGAGAGTGAAAATACATGGAACTAAATGATTTGGTTTTTATATTCTGGTTATTTAGTAATTGTTACAAAAGTCAGAATATGCTATTTTCTTAATTATATACTGTATTGTAATTTTAATCATAATTAACTGTATTAATCATAATTTAATTTAATGGTCTAAAGAAAAAGAAAAATATTAGAGGTTAAAATTGAAAAATTGAAAAATTGAAAAAGAACCGAGGCGAAAATGCAAGAATAAAGTTTTTGGTTTTTTCTAATGCTATATAGTGTGTCACTGCCTCACTCCACAAACCCTAGACATCTTCATTCTCTCTCTCTCCTTTCTCTCTCTGAAGATGGCTTCACGCAGACTCGTATCGTCTCTGATTCGATCTTCTCTTCGTCGATCCTCATCGAAACCCTCCATCTCCGCCTCAACTTCGAGGCTCACTTCTCAATCCCGTGCCTCTCCTTGCGGCTACCTTCTTAACCGCGTAGCCGATTACGCCACTTCCGCCGCAGCCGCTGCTGCTCCTCCATCTCCGCCTCCAGCGAAAAAGGAGGTTCCCGGTGGTGGTAAAATTACCGATGAGTTTACAGGTAAGGGTGCGATTGGACATGTTTGCCAGGTTATTGGTGCCGTCGTCGATGTCAGATTCGAGGAGGGTTTGCCTCCGATCTTGACTGCTCTTGAGCTTTTGGATCATGAGACACGGTTGGTGTTGGAAGTTGCTCAGCATTTGGGTGAGGGCGTTGTCAGAACTATTGCTATGGATGCTACTGAAGGTGTCGTTAGAGGGTGGCGTGTGCTCAACACTGGATCCCCTATCAGTGTAAATATCCATTCGTTTAGCTTTGAATATTTTCAATTTTCATTCATTGGTTGCAGTTTCTGATTACTTTTGACTTTGTATGGTTTAACTGATTGCTAGATCTGAATTTTGGATCAGTTATATTTGACTCTATATGTTGCATTTTGTGGATCCAGATGTTTTTTTTTTGCCTTGATGATATTCATAAAGTTTTATTGTTTTTTCTGAATGAATGGTTTTGTTTTTATTCTGTGTGAGTTTACTGCTTTTGATTGACGAAGAAACTGATTTAGTGTTCTCAATTGTTAGCTGTCTGCATCTTTGTGCTATTAATTTTCGGTGATTGGTTTCGTAACCCATTTTTTGTTGTCAAATTGTTGTATACATTGAAAGTAACGTTTGGGCCTGTCTGCTTTGAGTTAAAGTTTTCTGTTTACATTTGCTGTATTCACTTTTAGTTGCAAGCAGACTAAAAATCATGGGACATTTTTACGTTGTATTTTGATTATCTGTACAGCTTTGCTTCATTGTTATTCAGAGAATGCTTACTGCTACTAGTTTAGTTGGCTGAATATTTATTGATTCACTTTAATTGGGATATCTGCAGTCCTTTGTATTTTATAAGCTTAATTTCCATGCATATTATCGAGGCCTTTGTTTACGAAATACTGTTTTTATTAATTTATAATCCATCTATTATAGGTCTCATGATCTGATCCTATTGCTCCACCTGCCAATAGACTTATTTGCATCATGGATTTACCTATGATTAAAGCATGTTTTAGTGTTTTGGTCTGTCTGTCACTAGCAATTAGCTACTTTAATATTTTACAATTAAAATGTGTGTTCTATTCAGGTTCCTGTTGGTAGGGCAACCCTTGGCCGTATCATGAATGTTATCGGAGAGCCTATTGATGAGAAGGGTGAATTGAGTAAGTTATCTATGACGTGTTTTAATGTCTTATGAGTTGGTTACTGTTTTTCTTTGTATCCATTCCTCTGGGTCCTTTCAATGATGGTAATTATTGTCTATATTGCCTCATCAGAAACCGAGCATTTTTTGCCCATCCATAGAGAAGCCCCTTCTTTTGTTGAGCAAGCAACTGAACAGGAGATTCTTGTTACTGGTATCAAGGTATTGTTATTTATTGTTTCTTCCTGTCTTTTGTTTATTTACGAATGCATTCTTTCTCAATTCCATAAGTATTTGCAGGCTTGGATATCTAATGGCTTGTGGTCTAAATTTGCATATTTTCCTTGTAGGTTGTTGACCTACTTGCACCATACCAAAGGGGAGGAAAGATTGGGTTGTTTGGTGGTGCTGGTGTTGGAAAAACTGTGCTTATTATGGAACTTATCAACAATGTTGCTAAGGCTCATGGTATATGCTAGCATAATGAACTTAATTTATTCTTCTTGAGATGCTATTCTTCTCTGATGCATGCTGACTCTTATTCATTTATTAGGTGGTTTCTCTGTGTTTGCTGGTGTTGGAGAACGAACTCGTGAGGGTAATGACTTGTACAGAGAAATGATTGAAAGTGGTGTCATTAAGCTGGGTGATAAGCAGGTGAACACAATGCTGTTCATGATGCATGTTCGATATTATTCATAGCAGTTAATTTTTGCAGTTGATAACTTTTGTTGTTTCATGAATTCAGAGCGAAAGCAAGTGTGCTCTTGTGTATGGACAAATGAATGAACCCCCTGGTGCTCGTGCCCGTGTTGGTCTTACTGGACTTACTGTTGCCGAGCACTTCCGTGATGCCGAGGGCCAAGATGTGCTTCTTTTTGTTGACAACATTTTCCGTTTTACTCAAGTATGGACATTTATTCTAGAATTAGTCATATTGTTTTATATCAATTGATACTGTACTTGTAGTTTTTGATTTATTAATAATTAATTTTTCATGATGCAATTGCAGGCTAATTCAGAGGTGTCTGCTTTACTTGGTCGTATCCCATCTGCTGTTGGCTACCAACCAACATTGTCTACTGATCTTGGAGGTCTTCAAGAACGTATTACTACCACCAAGAAGGGTTCAATTACCTCTGTCCAAGCTATCTATGTGCCTGCTGATGACTTGACAGATCCTGCTCCTGCTACTACCTTTGCTCACTTGGATGCCACAACAGTGTTGTCACGACAGGTTTGATTATGTTATTTTAAAGATGCAATTTCTTTTGATATTTGTGTTTATCACCAGCTAAATTAGATTTTTGATAATAATTGAATAGATCTCTGAGCTTGGTATCTATCCGGCTGTTGACCCATTGGATTCCACATCTCGTATGCTTTCCCCACTTATTTTGGGTGAGGCCCACTATGAAACCGCTCGTGGTGTACAGAAAGTACTCCAAAACTACAAGAATCTTCAAGATATCATTGCAATTTTGGGAATGGATGAGCTCAGTGAAGATGATAAATTGACTGTTGCCCGTGCTCGTAAGATTCAACGATTCTTGAGCCAGCCTTTCCATGTTGCAGAAGTCTTCACTGGTGCCCCTGGCAAATATGTTGACTTGAAGGAGAACATTACTAGTTTCCAGGTATTTATTTTCTTCATTTAGACTGGTATTATAAATATGTTCAGCATTATCTTTAATATTTGCTTCCAGAACTTTTTTTTTTCTATTTACAAGGATGGTTGCCAACCAGAACTTGTTATTGATTTTCTTTGTGGACTAATGCATGGTTGTTGTGTAACTTGCAGGGTGTGTTGGATGGCAAGTACGATGACCTTTCAGAGCAGTCATTTTACATGGTTGGTGGTATTGAAGAGGTCATTGCAAAGGCAGAGAAGATTGCTAAGGAATCAGCAGCATCTTCATCTTAATCATTGTCTTTTCTTTATAATTGCGAAAATTTAATAATTTAGGAACTCTTTCTTGGCAATGCCAAACAACAAAATTTTCCATTTTATAATTTTTGAATGGTCATTCCTTTCATTTTGAGTGTTGTTGCTGACGGTGAGATCAACCATATTCTGTGTCCCTTTTTCTTTTTCCTTTTCCAGTTGTGTTATTTAATAAGTGGAAAATGCAACAGAATGTACATTTTTATTTGTTAAGAACATGGATGCATCAATTGTTATTTAGAACTGGTTCATGAGTTGTGAAGCATACTTTTAAATCTTGATGAATTTTCAACACTTAATATTCTCAATATAGTTTCTTTTATTTTATCTTTTGCACCAGTTATTAATATTTCTATGCTTTTAGCCTTTTACTATGCATATTTTGTGGTCTGTATCGGGCATTTTACGCATGCCGGTAATATTAACTATTAAAAGAAGAGTTTATTTCTTAATATCATATACTAAAAGTGTAGTTTAATATTATAACTACACTTAAGACTCAATGGTGTGGAGAAATTAGTATTAGTATGATGGATTGGGTGTGAGGGGGGATTGATGAGTAGGGGGTGTTTATTGGTTCGGGAAAATTTGAATCGGAATTCAAACCAAACAGTAGAGCTTAGGTCGGATATTTTTTTAGTTTGGGTAAAAATCGAATTAAACTAATGAAATCCAATATTAAATGGTTTGAGTAAAAATCGAATTAAACTAATGAAATTCAATGTTAAATGGTTTAAGTAAAAATCGAATTAAACTAATGAAATCTATTGTTAAATGGTTTGAGGAACGATTTTCAAATTTTTTTCCCAATCAATCATATTAATTAATATGATTTATATTATCATTATCATAAAAATTAGTATAAGATATTCTATTTCAAGTAGAAAAAAATTAAAACTTATTTTTGACATTCATAATATGGAGAAATGAAAAAATTAGGAATTTTATAATGTTATGGAAAATTAATTGATGTAATTTAAATATTTTTAAAAAATATTTTTGTATATTTGTTTTCAACGTACCTGATCAATTCAACTCAAACTAATCCGTTGTTTTTCGATTTCATTCGGTTTGGATTTTATCGCAAAAATGTGCAAATCCAATCCAAATCAAATTAATAGCGGATCTGTTAGAGGTGTTTCAGAAATGTCCGTGATCGAGTAAATAGATCTAGGAACACGAGTTGAAAAATGTATCAATATCTTAGAGACCTCTAACTCGCTTGGTGAATAGTATCTTAAGAAAATATTTTCTTTCGAATGAACAAGACATTGAGGAATTGTTCATACATAAAATCATAATTATAAGACCTTTTCCCATAAAAAGAGAATCTTTTGTTATAACCGAAAGAGAAGTTATATTGATTATTCAAGAATCGATATATTTTTGATCGGATTGGGCATCAGATTCTCTCAAAACTGAACCCAACCGACTTGCAAACACTTCTATTGATGAGATAAAACTCATGGACGTGACCTAGAGAGCGTTGTTTATAGAAAAGTTGGTATTAACAAAGTCTTTGTGTGCCGTTTGGTGGTTATTTAGTCATTTTCATATTATTTTTTTGATAAATATGTAAGTGAAGAGTCTAAACAAGCGTTTTATAACTTTCATAGATAAATTGAGGGTTTTTGCATCGGTTGCTTGTAAAACAAATCAATAAATATATATATTTTACGTGATTTTAGCACTTACCAAATCTTCTTAACTTATATTTTTGTTCAAATGGTTCAAAAGTTTTTTAAATGATATTCATGATAACCTTAAATGACTAAGTCAAAGAGTTTTTGAAAAATATTTGAATGACATGGTATTCTTTCTAATAAAAATTCTTTATCAACATTATAAATATTTATAAACGATAACATGAAGATCTCTCTCTCCTCCCTCCCTCCCTTCCCTCCCTCCCCTTCCCTCCCTCCCTCTCTCTCACAGATCATTTATGAAGGATTTAACTTGTCACCCCACACTTATATCTGACACCTCCAATGATAATGATATTACTCTTATGTTCCAAAATTTTACACTATCAGAAATTTCAAGAAAATATCAATTTTTTTTTGAAATTCTCGATAATAAATTATGGGAAATTTCGAAAATTTTCCAAATTTTTTCAAAAATAAAAATAAAATTTTTGTTGCACTACCGGAAATTTTAGTATATTTTAAAATTTTCGGTAGTATAAAACAATATTTAAATTTTATTTATTTATTGAATTATACCAAAAATTTCGTTTTTTTTTCACCCCAAATTTATTCATGAACAATTTAAGAATTAAGAAAAATATGAAAGTGTCGTTTAATTTGATAGGTGGGCAAGTTAAATCCCCTCATTTATGACTTTAGCTAAGATAAGGAGTATGTTATCATGATATTTTAAGAATTAAAGACTTAAATTAAATTATACTTTATACTTTTTTTCAAAATCTAAAATAATTGTTCACTCATTAAAAAAAACTAAGATTGTCATATGACATGAGCACAAGAGAAATTGGACAACAAAACCATAAACTTTGTTTTTTTTATTATGAATGTGACAAAATTGGATTTGTCCACATTCATAAGCAAGATTGGACAAGTAGTATTTTTTTTATTATGCATGATTAAGGGTATGAGCTATGACTAGTCTTACAATTACACTATTTATGTTAAATGAATGTCTTGTCCTCTTGCTTACAATGGAAACATCAAACAAATCGAATCTTGAGACCCCACTATGTTCAAACCAACATACAAACCATGAATTGGAAGATGAGACATTTGATCAATGGTGTTGCATTAGTGAAGATATTGTTGAGGAAGCTAAAAAGCAACTATGGCTAGCAGGGCCTCTTATTGGAGTCAGTTTGTTGCAATATAGTTTACTAATGATTTCTATTATGTTTGTTGGTCATCTTGGGAATCTTCCTCTTTCAGGTGCTTCTTTGGGTAACTCCTTTGCCTCAGTCACTGGTTATAGTGTTTTGGTAAGTGGGTCATGTTCATTTTCTTCCAATATCTTGGACTTGATTTCATGAGTTATCAACAATGTTATTCTTGTTGTTTTAATTGTTTTTTGTTGATGAACTTCATTAGAGCTTTTAAAACTAAGTCACAAAATTCGTGAGCATATTCATCCATCATCTTGCACGCCCTCAAAGACAATCATGATCTCAGCTTTTTATGTTTCAAATATGCGTTTGAAGTTAGGAATGGGAAGTGCATTGGAGACACTATGTGGCCAAGCTTATGGAGCCAAACAATATGACATGCTAGGAATTCAACACAAAGAGCAATCATTGTCCTTCTAGGATTAAGCATTCCCTTATCTTTTATTTGGTTTTACACATCCAACATTCTCATAGCATTTGGCCAAAACTTGAAATATCATCACAAGCTGGAATATTTAATAGGTGGATGATCCCTGGTCTTTTTGCATATGCCATAATCCAATGCCTTAACAGATTTCTACAGACACAAAACAATGTTTTTTCCAATGCTTATAACCTCTGGAATCACAGCTTTGGTACATGTTGTGTTTTGTTGGGTTTTTGTGTTTGAATGTGAATTGGGGAATCAAAGGAGCAGCTTTGGCAATCAGTTTGTCCTATTGGGTTAATGTGATCATGTTGGTGATTTACATAAACTCTTCTACAGCTTGTGCATCAACTTGGAATGGAGTTTCCAAAGAAGCTTTGAATGACGTTGTTAGTTTTTTAAAGCTCACCGTGGCTTCAGCAGTTATGATATGGTAATCTAACTTAAGTCAGACTACAATACAACCACTAATTAGAATTCAACCAACTGGCAAACTGACCAGTTCACCAGTCTACCGGTTAAACTGGTCTGTTCAGTCTAGTTTTTAAAACATTGTTAATAGGAGAAGAGAACAAAAACAATATAGTATACTATACCGAATTTTTCATTACATTTTGCTAAGTTTGTTCCCTTGACAGTTTGGAGTATTGGTCCTTTGAGATGGTTGTTCTTCTCTCTGGCCTTCTACCAAATCCTCAACTAGAAACATCTGTATTATCAATAAGGTAAACCATTTACACACTGATATATCCAATAATTTGATCAAGATTCCATCATAATTCATATGCACCTTTTTCTGGCAGCCTTAATACATGTTGGGATGGTCTATATGATCTCAGTTGGTCTTGGTGGTGCCATAAGGTCAGTGAGCGACAATAAATTTAGTGTTCATAACTGTTACTTGTAATGCAAGTTTTGTTACTTCTTGACTTGGATTTTTCTTAACTTATGGTGTCATACTGTGAAGCACAAGAGTGTCAAATGAATTAGGTTGTGGGAATGCACAAGGCGCGGTTTTGGCTCTCCGCGTGATGATTGTAATTGCCATAGTAGAGGGTATAGCAATAGTATTGGTTACCATTTTGGTAAGAAATGTTTGGGGAAAGCTGTATAGCAATGAAGATGAAGTTATCAAATATGTTGCCAAGATGATGCCTCTGCTAGCACTGTCTGATTTCCTAGACGGTTTCCAGTGTGTGCTTTCAGGTAATTCTCATTCCTCACAACTCACAACAGTCAAATCCTGTCATCATATGTTAATCGAACTTGACTCGAGTACTACTGATGGATTCCACTTTGATTGAAGTTAATTACAAAATGGTTTGGGTTGAACAGGAGGTGCTAGAGGTTTGTGGTTGGCAGAATGTATGTGCATTTATAAACCTTGGTGCTTACTATGTTGTTGGAATTCCTTGTGCTATCTT